CCCCCCCCCCCCCGCCCCAGTCACAGGCACACGTCTGCCACTTCAGGGGACCCAACCCAACGGTGACACAGGCCACGCCCCTCCTGACGCTGCTGGACCGGTGGCCGTCACACTTTCCTCTCTGAGAAGCAGAACTTTCTTCTAGGAAAACCTCACAGCAAACCCCACATCCATGTCAGAGGAAGCAGACGCAGTGAAGCGTGGGGGGAGCCTAGGCCACCCTCTTCACTCCTCGGATCCTGGGAAATGCTCCAGCCAGCCTCTCCGTGCCTCAGTTTCCTCATCCAGAAACGGGGACAAGAGCAGTGTGCCCCCCCACCCTGTCCCAAGAGAGTTACTGAAAAAGTAACGGAGTTGGTACAGGGCCAACGGTGAGGACTGAGCCCGGAGACTGGAGGTGCCGAACCACTCCTAGGGCATCCTCGTCCGTGACCTCCCACCAGGATAAGGCAACCGGGGGCGCCTTGCACGTGCCAGCCTTTCCTCAATCTGCCAACAGTCCGAGGCCTCAGCTGGCCCATCTCGTGCTAAACACCAAGCAGACCCTCAGACGACCGCCTCCCAGCCACCTCACCTCACACCCTCCCATCGGCCACCTGCACCCTTAAGCGGGCCTGGCTGCCTTTCAACCTGTGGCCTCGATGCCTCCGATCAGGATTCTCTTCCCCAAACGTCCACCCACCAGCATGCACAGCCACGGGCTCTGGTGCAATGAGGCACCGGCACCTCCCACCGGCCACCCTCCGTCCCCGGGTACCCACCACCTGCAGCATCACGGCGACAGCTGAGGCTCACAGATCGGGGGGCTTCAAATCACACAGTCAGAACCCACCCCAGGGAACCTCGTACAGTACTGTTGGGAGACAGCTAACCGTGTGCCGTTGGCACCTGTTAAATCCTCCACGAGCACGAACTCAGCAAGTCCTCTGGACAACTCCCTGAAGCAATAAAACACCGGCTTTACCTCCTCCGCTAAGCCCCAGGAAGGAAGCAAGAAAGCGAGGCTTGGTTTCTCAGCCCCCTCACCCGCCGCTCAGGGGGGACTGGTGAGCTCTCACCTGGATGGGAGCAGGCAGCAAGCAGAGCATTAGGGGCCGGAGGCCAGCCCCGGTGCCAGGCGGACCTGTGCAAAGGCCAGGCTGTGCCGCTTCCGGGCTCTGTGACCTTGAGCAAGGGCCTCCACGCTCCAAGCCTCAGTGTGTATGTTTCAAAACGAAATCGCGCGCAGCGGGGTCACATGACGCGACGCGTGTAAACTGCATGGCGCAGAGCAGCACTTAATGCCATCAGCGACTGATGACGATACGGGTTGGAACACCAACAGCACCAGGCACTCAATGCGTCTAGAACCCTGGGTCTTCAACTCACGGAACCGTCATTAACCAAGGCTTCTTCACCTCGGCACTTGCCGGTATCTGGGGCTAGATAATTCTCGGGTGTGGGGGCCGTCCTGGTTAGCAGCGTCCCGGGGCTCCACTAACACACTCCTAGTCGCGACAGCCAAAAACGTTTCCAGACACGGCCACACGTTCCCAGGGGAGGGCAGAATCACCCCTGGTTGACAGCCACCACCGCGAGCCAATGAAGGAAACGCTACCAACATCCCCATGACGCAGATGGGAAAACAGAGGCACGGGACGGTGAAGGGACCGGCCCCGTTGTCCGACGGCTGGCACACGGTGGCTCGGGGACACACGCCGGGTGCCGCAGTGCCGTCACTGTTTTGCAAAGGTTGCCCCCTCCCCACTCTACCTTGCCCACCTTCCCAGGGCCTACCGCCAGCTGCAAGTCCCGGCTGCGCAGCACGGCTGAGTTCTTCTCCTCGCTGAGCTGTGCCAGGCGCATGGCGATCATGTAGTTCTCGTCCTTGAGCCGCAGCAGCTCCAGGCTGCCCGCCTCCCAGTCCTCCCGCAGCCGCTGGCAGCGTTCCTGTGCCTGCTGTTGCTCCCGCAGCCGCTGCTCCAGTCCGGCCCGCTCCTCCTCCAGCATCCGACCGCGAGCCTGCAGTTGCTGTTCCCTCTGCAGCTGGCTCTTGCGAGCCTCCCGCAGCCGTCGCACCTCCGTCATCAGGAACTGGGTCAGGCCCTCGGGCCCCTCCTCATCTGCCAGGGACGGGGGAGAGAAAAGTCAGGGCAAGCAGATAAAAATCCAGCGGGCCGGCAGCCTGCGCAGAAAAACCCAAACCACAAAAACACGAGGTGGAGATTCGGGCATGTAGTTTGATAATTCTGGAGTGGAGGAGGCCTTCCTAAAGAAGGTACAGAATCTAGAGCCTAGAAAAGAGAAATTGGACAAATCCATACAAAAGTCTGTTGAAGATCTGAACAGTGAAAGATGTAACAAAGAAGTTAAAAGACAGCAGAACGGGAGAAAGTATAACCAATATAACAGAGAAGTGGGAGCCACGATATATAAAGAGCTCCTACAAATCAATAAGAGCTGTAACAGAGAAAATGGACAAATCCATATAAAAAAAAAAAAAAAAATGTTAATGGGGCGCCTGGGTGGCGCAGTCGGTTAAGCGTCCGACTTCAGCCAGGTCACGATCTCGCGGCCCGTGAGTTCGAGCCCCGCGTCGGGCTCTGGGCTGATGGCTCAGAGCCTGGAGCCTGTTTCCGATTCTGTGTCTCCCTCTCTCTCTGCCCCTCCCCCGTTCATGCTCTGTCTCTCTCTGTCCCAAAACTAAATAAACGTTGAAAAAAAAAATTTAAAAAAAAAAAAAAAAAAATGTTAAGCTCCTAACCACGACAAATATAACAAAAATAAAGTTAAAATGTAAGAAGTAGAGCAGGTGAAAATATAACCGATGCAGCAAAGGATTCAGAGCCACAATATATAAAGAGGTCCTACAAATCAATAACAAAAAGCAAACAAATACATGAGGAACAACTATTAATAGGCAAGTTCATAAACAAAGGAAAATATGCTCCAACTCACCAGCAATAATAATCATAATGGTGACAATAACAGCCACTAACGTTTAACTTCATTCTTTGCACTAAAGAAATTAATTTAGTTAACTGCATGACAAGATTATGAGGTAGGTACTGCTATTACATCCACTTTAAAGACAAAAACACTGGGGTGCCTGGGTGGCTCAGTCGGTTAAGCATCCGACTTCGGCTCAGGTCATGATCTCACACTCCATGAGTTCGAGCCCCACGTCGGGCTCTGTGCTGACAGCTCGGAGCCTGGAGCCTGCTTCCGATTCTGTGTCTCCCTCTCTCTGACCCTCCCCTGTTCATGCTCTCTCTTTCTCTGTCTCCAAAATAAATAAACATTAAAAAAATAATAAAATAAAATAAAGACAAAAACACCAAAGCACAGAAAGGTCAAGTCATTTGCCCAAGGTTTACTAACTAGTAAGCTGTGAATTACGTGTCTCAATGAAGTACAAGTTTAAAATAATAAGGTATTATTTTTGACAGATCAGAATTGGCCAAAGTGTTTTTAGATGATCCCCAGGATTCATGACGGTAGAGCAAAATGTGCACTCATACACTGGTGGCGGGATGAACATCGATTTCACACTTAAAATACATAGGAGTCTTTGAGAAATTTTCCTTCCCAGATCCTCTCCTCCTGAGACACCCGTTTGCACAAACGTGCACACAGAAAAGATGCTCCTGGGGGCACCCGGGTGGCTCAGTCAGTCAAGCATCCAACTTCGGCTCAGGCCATAATCTGATGGTTTCAGGAGCTCGAGTCCCGTGTCAGGCTCCGTGCACTGACTGCACAGAGCCTGCTTGGGATTCCCTCTCTCTCCCTCTCTCTCTCTGACCCTTCCCCACTCGCACCCTGTCTCTCTCAAAAAAATAAAAAATAAAAGTATTCAGGCTTTGAGTTCAGACTAAATGGATTTGAATCCCAACTTGGGCAAACTGCTTCAGATCGCCCCATGCCTCGGTTTCCCTATCTGTTCAACAGGAATAATGAGAGTGCCTCCCGACAGGGATGGAGTAAGGAAACTCTGTACTGGTGTCCGAGGCACCAGCACCTGTTGTGGACTCACTCACCGAGGATCATGGAGCAGCGCTGGGCAGGTTCCTGGCCCGTGAGCAGCGTGAAGTGCTCGGGGTAGTAGAACTCCAAGGCTTCCAGAAAGGCCTCATATCCCCTCTTGCCGCGGCAGCGCAAGATGTCCATCAGGCGCCCTGGGGAGTGGCAGGGGATACCCAGGGGTCAAGGTCAGGACTTTCCCCAGGGCCTAGCCACTTCCTCCCCCTTTCCCTCCTCCCCAATGCCCCAGGGCCCACGTTCCCCAGACTTTTTATTTCTCCAGATTTTTGAGTCAGTGACACACACGGGGGCCTGTCTCGACACATCGGTGGGGAGAGCCTGTCTGCCACAGCCAGGAAAGCCAGGACCCTCCCGCCAGGGTACCTGTGCTGCAACAGCTTCCCAACCCCCAGCCTACCCCCCCCCCCACACACACACACACAGATACAGGGCCAGCGAACACTCCCTGCCTTTTCAATGGCACAGAGGAGTCCCCTCCATCCCCAAACGCAAAGTAATACACTGTATTTCTCCCACCGGCCAAGGCCTGAAATGCCGCCATTAGACCCTCATCCCTTTGCCAGCTCTGGTTCAAGGACACAACCCTGTGGGAGAGGGCACCCTCACAAAGCTGTGACGGGTCTTGAGCACTTAGGGGGAAATAACTCTCCAAGGAATGCGTGGCACACGGCAGGAGAGGACAGACAGAACCCAAGAGATCAAAGGGCACAAGAAAGATGCCCTGTCCATCCACTAGGTCCCAGATCTAGACTGCGGCTGGCAACCACAATCCAAGTTCCCTGCTCCAGAGCGGGCCCAGGAAGCGGGAGGCAACTGCAAGGCAGACAAAACCCAGATGCCCGTCTGGGCACCAAAGATCCGCCGGGTCGTGATGGTGGTTCAGGCGGAGGCGGGAGGGGGGGGGGGGGGGCACCAGAACCCCTGGCCTCCGGCTCCAAGGCTCCGTGCGCCGCGCTCGGGGGACAGTCAGCCCCGGGGGAAAGGCCCGACCCCACGCGCCCCCCGCGGCTCACCGGTGCGGTTGACGCGGCACGGGAAGCGGTAGGTGCTCAGCACCTCCTCCTCGTCCTGCTCGTCGATGACCCGGCACTGGCGCAGATACGGCGTCAGCTTGGCCGGGTTGAGGGCGCGGGTCAGCCGGTGCCGGACGCCCTCGATCCGCTCCCACAGAGCGTCCTCCTCCGCCTCGGACCCCGAGCCGGCCCCGGCCTCGTCCTCCGCCTCGCCAGCCTCGGCCCCGCCCGGCATGGCCGCGTCCTCGGGGTCTGCGGGCCGGAGGCGCGAGGGGGCCGATCAGCAGGG